CCGCGCGGATGTTTTTTCAAGATAGCTCTTCCGGACGGAGCATACGCGACCCATGTGAAATCGTTCATTTAAACTCATGGAACTGGCGGACGGTACGCGCGGACGCTCCGCTCCATGTGAAAGCGCTGATATACTTCCCGAAATTTTAAGCCTAGTTCATGCACTTGCGAATTGCGATTTACGAATTGCGAAATGCGTTCTATTTTCGTTCTGATTGGCCACCTTCAAGAACGACCTTGAAAGCGACCAATTGCAAGGCAAAAAAAACGCATTTCGCAAGTCGTAAATCGCATTTCGCAAGTGCATGAACTGGGCTGCATTTTTTGTCCGTTGCGCAAATTTGTTTATTAGAAAATCACTCCTGGCAAGCAAGTCTCCGTTGGATTAATACAGCAGTGTTTATAAAAAAAAATAACTATTTTATTTTGTAGATTTTGGTACAGTTGTTAAATGGGCTAAATAATACCCATAGAATTTTTGAAGAAATACAGATGGGGTTTGGTTTGGTTTGGTTGCGACTAAAAATGTTTTAACATTAAACAACGATCTATCGATCAACGTCTATCAGCCTGACTGTGACTATATATGGGCTAACCATTTTAAAACATGTTAGCAAAACTGTAATCCTGTAATAGAAGAAAATCGAATTGAATCAACACCGTACTCCTTGCTGTTCTTGAAGATGTGCTATTTATGGTGCTATTCACCCAGAGATATATAGACTTTAGTTCATATCTCTGATGAATTCACCACTTCCATTTTATTTCGCAAATGCAAAATTGTCGCAGTATAAATATTGAAAACGCTAAAAAAAAACAACTAATTTCTACCCGGAAATATATATTATACCGTATGATCGAAAAAATACGGCGTTCAGTTCGCTGGGAAATGACGATAGATGACATACCCATTTTCCATATAAATTTACATATAAAATGACAGCAATCGTCATTTCATAGCCATTGCTGACGAGGTTTTTTTTCGATCATTTTTAGCTTGGGCGCGAAAAAAGGGATGATAAGAAATTTTATGAAATGATAAGAAAGATCCAGGAGTTACGTTTTATAGGGAAATAAACAGTTCACTACACCTTTTTAGCGTTTTTTTTTATTGAATTCGATAATTATTCCTCAATTTCAATTAACATCTATACCTATGTACTTGATATGTGCTATACGTCGATACAAGTTTTGTACCTTTTGTTAAAATTTTAATACGTTTTTTTCGTAATTAATTAGTATGATAAAGGTATGATACCACAGGACACACCAGAGGCGTAGTGAAAATATTTACCAAAAATATAAATATCGCTTCAAGCGAAAATATGTGCCACGGCACTGTGTGGAAGAATGGTCACAGCATGGTCACAGTTTGGTCTCGGTTGCTATTTGTCCTTGTATTCTTTAGTCATTGAGCAGCCGCTGAGCAAGTCTCAAAGGGTGCATCCCATATACGTATTACTTTTTACAAATATACTCAGCCTAATCTCCAAAAAGTGAAGCCCAAACAGTGAAAGAACAATATGGAATTCTGCATAAGTCTATTTCACCCGGATATTCATTTAACTGAGCATGCCTCACCTGAAGAAGTTTTCATTGGTCGATGTTTTTAAAGGGAAGTGGTTGACTGACATTTCCCCTAACCTTCAATTTTATTTATATTTTTATTATTTATAACACATTATCATGGAGTCGGAAAAATATAAAAAAATAGTTGGAAACAATAAACTAAACAAAATCACTCTTTTACGCGCACAAATAAAAAGTAATTCAAACAGAACTAAAACAACAATCAATCGGAGTTTGGCGCATTCGCAGTTCAATCCATATCTGGGTGAAATAGACTTATGCAGTTTTAATATGGAGCTGGGTTATGTTGTCTTTTTCTTACGGTACAGAAATTGCACACGGGGTTAAATAGGGAACCCTGAGTATATTTGTAAAAAGTAATACGTATATGGTGCATCCACACTAGACAGTTAAAGCACGGCCAAAGACGTAGACGTATCGTTTGACATGTACGCTTGCGCAGTGTGAAATTCACTTGCGTTTACGGATACGTGATACGTATCTTTACGTGCCTTTACGTACGTACAAAACGCAAACGTATCGAGCCGAAGGAGTTTCGATTTTCACCCGAATGATGCCGAACGTACAAATTCACAAACAACTCGTTTCCACAACTGGCTAGTAATTAAGTTATTTCATAAATTTTGGGGCCAGTGTCACAGAACTGGGCCTATTTTATTACAATAAATTAGTATGAAAATATTAAGTATCATAATAAACTCATTTTGAATCTATTTAATTAAATGCTAGTTCTTATAGGCAAAACCATAATATGGAGGATGGGTAGAAGATGGAATCTAAAAATAATCATAAAGCTGTAATCTGTTTTCCAATACTTTTTACTCGAACCCTTGAGCATTTTAAGTTGTAAGGACTGGTTTCTGTGGTAAAATAATTTCCATTTATAAGTTTTTTCAGTTTTCGATAATACGCGAAATGCGTTGCTATAGGTACGTTCTAAAGTGTAACAGTTTACAATACTGAATTTATTTGTTAGATGCGTTCTGCGTTTTGGTACACATTATCAAAATAAAAATGTTTTTTAATGAGTAATAGATATCCATTTTTCAATTTTAAAATTTAAATAAATTGTTTCTTAGTAAAATAATTTAGAATTACAAATGTACCATTTGCCCTGATTACCCAAAATACGCTACTTTGACAGGTGTTTACACGACAACGCAACGGCAGACGTAACGTAAGTTTCTGCGCGCACGTTGGGAGAGATACTTCTATTGATGCCTTGCTTTAACTGTCTGAGCAAGTCGCTGTGTTCCCTGAACGCGCTTAAAGCCCCGTTTTCAGTAATTCGTATTGGCTGAAATTTTTTGACAGATGAATTTGACAGATAAAATTTCTGACAGATGAATTGTACTCAATTTAAAATTGACTGTTGTTTCTATTCAAGGTACAAATCTGATTGGTTCTCTTGACGTGTCGATGCACCCGACAGCCGCTGTGTTCCCTGAACGCGCTTAATTTAAAATAGATCTACAGTCTGGCAACATCTACAAACTACGCATACGTAGTATTTGTGAGCAATTGCAGCAAATAGCCGCCTCAAAGTCAGCCGTAGACCATTACCAAACCACATCTTTGCCATTACTAATTTCAGTGTCTCCTGTCTAGTGGAGCGGTTTTTAAAATACGAATTTAGGTGGTATTCAACTTCGAGAGTTGGCAATACTGATGGTTGACCTTGTTGCCATGTTCTCATGTTCTGTGGTTCTTATCAGAAATCTTAGACAAGGAAAGAGAGGGGACAGGTAACACGGCAGCTGAAAGTGAGGCAAGTTGTCACCGCACGAAATTCTCTAATGGCGTAGCATCAGAAATTAGCTTGTACCTAGACGGTACAAAATATTTATTAAAACGTAAACTAATATATCGTTCATTTTTAAGTAATGCATATACAATTTTGTATTTTATAGTCTCACCTTTATAATATTAGAATATCTAAGTCGATAATGCAAAATTTATTTAACAGTCACAGTGGACTGATTATCAAGACAATTATTTATTTATTAACGTGTGTATAATGTATAATTAAATAAATAATAATGTAATAACATATATTTTAAACGTCTGTATACATATATACTGTATGATCGAAAAAACGACGTCTTGTTTGTTTGGAAATGACAATTTCACAAATGAATATTAAAAATTACATTATTCATTGAATATTGAATCCGTAAGCAAGTGTGAAGAGAATTGGCTAGATTCATTATTATACCGTATAATCGAAAAAAAACGACGCCCAGTTGGCTTGTAAATTACAATCGATGACATTCCCCATATAATTCTACATATAAAATGACATAAAAACTATACAAAAAGACATCGAAAAAAGACGGCGTCAGCGATGGCTATGAAATGAAGATCGCTGTCATTTTATATGTAAAATTATATGGGGAATGGGGCAATCGTCGATCGTCATTACAAGCCAACTGGACGTCGTTTTTTTTCGACCATACGGTATAATAATGAATCTAGCCGACCCTTCACTTGCGTACGGATTCAATGAATAATGTAATTTTTAATATTTGTTACCTTCAATCATAAGAATATCCTATTTTTAAGAATATCCGAATTTATTCACACAAAAATAAAACAATTCCAGAAGCTTTGTGTTATTTTATTTATTTTTAAATTTTTATTAATTACTCACTCAAACTCTTATACACTTAAATTAGCAAATTTTTTTAAAAAATATTTAAAAAAATATATGTATGTAGTAACAAGTAGCCCACCACAAGTTTGTCCACTCTCTACCTCTTGGCAGGTAAATTTAAGTTCTATATAACTATGCATATTGATTTTTTATCACTAAATTTTTTCATTTTTTATAGTTTACAATTATTTTACATATTTGATAACAATACTTTATACATTTTTTTACATGTAAAATATATAAAAAAATGTTTATTGCAGAAATTGTATTTCTCTGATTATAATTCCCTACGCCACTGGTGAAATCCGGTCTGAGTAGCAATATTTATAGTTTCAAACATTAATTATAATACAGGATATTGAAAATACCACTTGGAATTATTAAAAATAGTTTGGTTTGGATGTGGTACAAGATATATTAAAAGCATTTTACATATTTTTACTGCTATAATGAAAAAATGTACATTTTATGACCAAATAACAAAAGTTGTGTATCGATTTTTACCTGTGAAATGTATTTCCAGCCACTTTTTTCTCGCTTCGGCCTTTGCAGCTATACTCTGAACATCTCACCATACTAAACAACACAGTTTATAAATTAAAAACAAAACAGTTGTCACAAAAAACATAAAAATTCGCTCGGTGTCACCTCGACATCTTGTCACCAAAGTATGGCCGCCGATCGAATTTTGGCCTCACTATCCGATCACGGGAGAATTATGCGTGTTACCCGTCCCTTCTCTTTCCTTGTCTAAGGTCTAAAGTCAGAAATCTCTATTTGTGCTTATTATCCTTATTATGTTCTTATTATTCCCAGTTGCAATGATTGGAAAGTTTTTGTGAATTTGAATTGGATTGAGTGAAATGAGAAATGAGTGATAAAATGATAAAATTGATAACTCTCAAGGACGATAGTAACTGGAATTATTCTAATTTCATTTTATTGAAGTAATTTCGTACAATGACGTTTGTTTTTATCAGTATGTATTAGAATTCCATATCAATTTATTCATCTGAAATTTCTACACTATATTATTTAGATTACAAAGGAATATAATGTCTAATCTCATAAAGTGCTGTGTTTAAATAATGCCATATTCAATCAAATTGAACAACGTTTAAAACATGGGTCAAAATGCTAGCCTTCCAAAGGGACGCAGAAAATCACTCAGATCTTTTGTTAGAAAATCAATTTCTAAGAGAAATTTAAGTCACACCTTTACTGTACCTGGGAATAATGATTTTATTGAATTGCTAAACATTAATTTAGCAACTGAGGAAGATCTCATGACTTTACCAGGTATAAATAGAGAAATAGCAAAAAATATTGTCAACCATAGGAAGGCTATTGGCCGATATCGAAGAGTAGAGGATTTAGCACTAGTCAAAGGTGTGGGAGCTGACAAATTTGAAAAAATTCGCTTTGAAGTATGTGTTACAACAAGAAGAAATTTCAGTTGTTCCTCATCGAGGGCACATAGTTATGATAGTTTAAAAAGTACAGACTCTAGAATGACAAGCAAATCAAATAAATTGATTAATGTAAATAAAGCCAGTGTTTTTGATCTACAAAGTATTCCAGGCATTACACAAGAAATTGCAGCCAGTATTATTATATACAGGAATAAAAAAGGATCCTTTAGTAAGGTAATGTAATATACCCCCATGCATAAAATTAAGAAGTTATATTTCAACATGTAAATAATAATTAAATTAAAGCTTATGTAAATTATTTTGATTTAATGCAAGAATCGTTAATAATTGTGAAAACTTATTGGTTGGCAATTTAATTTTCAATTCTTTTGTGGTTACAAAGTTGTTCAATGTGATTCAGACTTTGTACCTTGAACGAATGCTATTAGTAAAATAGAAAATGTAAAGTTGGTTGTTATTTGGATTGAAAGGAGACTTTCTTATAGGTTATACATATTTGTTTGTATGGAATCACGTTTAGGACAACTTAAAAATTGCAAATCTGTATCATAAGTTTCTATTTATTTTGCATCCACCCCATATTATCAGTCAGACCCTACACGTAAGGGTCGTCTCAAACTCAAAGCCAAAGTGTATTGAGCTCTACTTCCTAAGTAAATAATAGTAGGATCACGAACGGGTTGTTTGGCGGTTACTGTTATACTGTTTTAAAAAACAGTAACTGTTTTAAAAACTACTGAGTGAAAGAATATATATTTTCGTCATTTTTTTTTACTTAAAAAATGTCTCTTGGTAAAAATTGCTACAAGCAACTGTTCTCAAGATATAGTCCAGTAAATAAGGACACGAAAAGACCCTAGTCTCTATGTAAATCATCGACCATGATTTTTTAGGAGGATTGTATACCTTTTGGAGAATAGTTTTAGGGAAAAAATTGTAACACTGAGCTCGGCCAGCTTTAGCCGCAAGAATGGCCGAAAATCAGTTTTTCGCATATATCTGCCAAAATATGCAATTTACAAAATTTTTCTTGGAAGAAAAAATTAAACTTAGGTAATTACCTAAAAATGGTCCTTATCATTTTTTATGTAGAATTATTAGTTTTCGAGATATTCCTCTAGAAAATCACTGAATTTTCTCTCCAAGTCTTCATTTAAAATCTCAATCTCAAAACTCTCAAAGTTCATTTAAAAGGTAGAATCAACAACTATCACATTTTGGTATTTGTTTGAACTTTGTCATATTTTGACAAATAACCTATTATTAGTGAAAATATGAATAAGTTTGTAAAAATCTGAAAATTTTTGGGCCGAGGAATGGGTTTGCCCGTTTTTTTTTATTTTCAAAAAATTGACAAAATTCCGAGCAAAATTCAAACAAGTTCTAAAATACGATTTTAAGTGAACTTTGAATCATCAAAAAATATTAAACAATAAATTATCAAAAAATATTTAGCCGAGTTAATAAACAATTTGTCCTATCAATCAATGATACGCTCAACGACCTCTAACCTTAGGTTACTTAAATAATAGGTTAGAGGTTATAGGCTATCTCGGGAGTGTTAAGACTTGGAGAGAAAATTCAGGGATCTTCGAGGCGTAATATCTCGAAAACTACTAATTCTACGTAAAAAATGATTAGGACCATTTTTGTATAGATAATTTCTTATTTTTAGCCGACCATACCAATAGGTATGGTAGGCTATTAGGATCGGCAAAAAGAAAGTTTTTTTAATTTCATTCAAAATGAGTTATTTGGGTCATAAATGACCTAAATACAAAATATTTTCATGGTGTCTGTCTGTCCAAATCAAAAACCGCTGAACCGATTTTAACCAAATTTGACACAAAATACTGTGGCACCCGAGAATCTGGCCATTAGTTTTTGGTGGGGGTGGGTGCAGTGGCGGACTAAAGGGGGGCGAAAGGGGCGGTCCGCCCCGGGCCCCTTCTTCTAGGGGGCATCCAAATCTTAAGAAGTAATTTTTTATTCAACTGGCAAACAAGGCTAATATGTGTTCAGTAGCTATAAAGCAATAATTGCTTTATAGCTACTGAACATAGCATGGATTGATTAACGTCAGTCACAGTAAATGGCGAAGGTTTGCTCCTAGCATTTTTGATAATGTTTTCCCATTCTTCTGGCGTTTCCACAGTTTCAGTTTTTTTATGCTTTTCAATCAATTAAAAATCTTGGTCGCAACTTAAAAAAGAATGACCACGTATAGGAAACACGTGTGTGATATTTTTAAACATGTGTAAACCATGAACAAGCAAGTAGAAAAATTTCATAAGAACATAGTTCTTATTCTGTCCGGCGCATCCATCACTTATTAAAATAAGATTTGTTGTTGTCACATCATTAGATCGAAGATACTGAAACAATAATGAAGCTACTTCGTTTTGTCCTTTTCTTCCTACCGTTTCATCGTAGGAGAACATGGTTGCAGTATTATTTCCATCATTGTGTACACCAAATACGTATAACCACAGTTGCCTAGCATAGAACACTGCATTGGTACGTATATGGGGCACTGGAAGATTTTGCATGAAGTCAAAGGACACACAAGTAAAATTTTCTGGATCGGCACGTGCTTTTAGTTTATACTTTTTTTTTATTGCCTAAAACTTCTCAGCTTTTATTAAGTGAAGTTCTTTTTCGTTATTTAGTTTTTTTATTTCTTCTGGATCGTCACAACCAGTTAATTTGCTTTGAAACCGATCGCATGTACCACACGTATCACTTCTTGGTAAGCCAAATTTAAGATTAAAATCAGTATAAAATATTTTCCAATACACTCTATAGGAAGGCCTAACACTACTATGTTCTTCTAGGAATATTTTATACATTTTCTTTACATTCAGCGTCTCGGGAAGATAATATGTATTCGGATTTTTCCTGCTTGAATAATGAGATTGGCGGTTTTTAAAAGACTTTATATGGTTTCTAATCAAATCCACTATGTTTTCTGCTGTTTTATTTGGTCGGTTTAAATGCTTGCCTCGTTGGTCCTTTGGTGTCGATCCAGTGTTAAAAAGATGATTTTGTAGTCTTCGAACCCTGTCATATGTAATTCCATGAAAACCACAAAAAGCTTTTACACATAGTGGCTCTTCTCTTTTTTCCAACCTTATTTTATAAGAATAAGCAGCGGAATGTTGTTGTTTGAGATTTTGTGGCAAATTATCTTGGCTCAGTCTTGATTCTTCTTCTTCATTTTCTGGTTCGCTCAGTAAAACGTCTCTACGTTCAATCTTTTTTCGGCTTCTTTGTTTTGGAATGTGATATGATATCAACCCTAAAATAAACGTATAGATATACCTTTATTTCCACCATCATAGTTCGTTAAATTTTACCTGTCAAATAACTGTCTTGTTCGTTTTTATTTTCCAAAGCATAGAACTGGTTGGAAATTTGAGATTTCTCTTCATCTGATATTTTGGAATAACATTTGAAACGTGAACAACTAGCATAAAATTAAATAAATAGAATTAAATATTTAATAAGTATAAAGTTAAATTATCATAACTTACTTGCAATTTGGCCCCATTTGGGCTTGTGGTTGTTCTAGTCCCTTGTAGTTAACATATTTTTTTCCCTTTATTCTTGCCTGTTTTATCTCTGTGCGCTTTAATACCTTCCTTTTCTTTTTTAATGGCACATTTTCACTCGAGTCTTGACGCTCAAATAATTCACTCTTACTTGTAGTATTTGTAATATTACCACTCATTTTAAATACCTATTAATTATTTAGGTTGTTGACTCTACTATAGTTAACCTTAACTAAACCACATAACTGATATCATTTATAAAACTTAACCTAAATATTAATAGTCAGATGAGCCGAAACTTTCCCGCAAAAACAACATAAGTCACTGACATCTGTGTATTTTTGCTAAAAATGCACCTTGACATATGGGGTTTATACAGAATCGGCGATATTTTTGTCGCTTATATCTTGGACTACTATCGTTTTTGCGGAAGTATTTCATGCAAGGGACGTAGTTAATCCCTAAAACTATTGATAGATGACGTAAGTTCAATATTGAAAGAAATTGACAAATGGGGTTTTTGCAAAAAACGCCTCAATTTGTAGTTAGAGTATGCAAACCATAAGTATACGCAAACTATACACAGTATAAATGGAGGCAGATATTTACTTAATTATCAATTATTAGGCCCCAGTAATTGTCAATGGCATTTTTCTATTTACGAAATTAAATCAAGGGGTAATTTTCTTTGTTAATATATCGAATAATTATTATTTTTTATATTCGAATAATTATCATTTATTTTTGGGCCTATATGTATATACCGCGATTTTGTAAGGGGCCCCTCTTACAAAATCTCGATATTTACCTGGAACGGTCGCGAAAGTAACGCGGCTTATATGTGGAACCGGTATTCCCATCACTTTGTCATGATAAATTGCCATTAAATATATGCGGACATTCGCTCGGGGATTGTTTTATTACGTCAAATTGCATTCGTTTTCAATTTAAATGTATTATTATAAACTTTAAAAAAATTGATGTTATCGTTTTTGAATCCTTTTTGGAGCTGGGGCCCTTAATCCTCTGGTCGGGACCCGTCGTCGTGGCCCTATACTTAAAAGTGGCACTGCCGATGAATAACATATTTATATCTACAGTATGTCCGCGGATTGTCTTCATAAAAATGTTTGCTTGTTCTAAAATGGTAATTCCTGTTTATACTTTTCCAAATTTCCATGCCGTTTTAGAGAAAAATAAAAAAAAACATGAAAATGTAGTTGAATTTTTGAACTAGTAAAAATAAAACGCCTTTCTATGGTATTATAATTTCGTTCTCATTTTTTGATAGATTATTATTGACAGAATTTTAATTAAAGTTATATTTTTTGCTGTTTTAAAATGTTAAAGAAGCACAAAATTTATTTAGTTCAATGCTACGGAAAGGGTGATAATAGTTATCGAAAAATGTGATACTTTTAACATCAAAAAATATGACGTTAATCAAAATTAATTATAACGATCTATCAAAAAATAAAATCGAAATTATATTACAAATAGCCTTTTAATTTTTAGGACTTTTATTTTTTTTAGGATTTTTTTTGGGGGAAAAATTACATTAAAAACTACATCTTTGTTTTTATTTATTTTTTCTAAAACGGTATGGATATATAGAAAATTATAAACACCATTTTACAACAAGCAAACATTCTTATGAAGAAC